TGATGTAATATAAAGTGATATGATAAGATGTGATATGATATGACATTAGATGATATGTTGTGATATGATATGATATGATCTGATATGAAGCGATATGATATGACATGATATGATATGAAGTGCCATGATGTCATATGATGTGATATGATATGAAGTGATATGACGTGATTTGAAATGAGATGGTGTGAAATATCTGAAGTGATACTATGTTATCATCTGACATGCATGTTGTAATGTGATCTGATATGAAACGATATGAAATAATATGGCATATAGATAATATGATATAATATATAAGAAATAAAAAGATAAGAAATGACATGATGTCATGATTTCATACTGTATGGATATGACCTAATATATAATGTATGTTTAAAAGGACGTGATATGATGTGTTGTGATATGAAATGATCAAGAATATTTTGATGTGATATAATATATCATACACCAATATATGATATGATACTGTTGCGAAAATGCGAGGCGAATGTCAGATGAAAGAGAGAAGCCGATAACTAGTACGTTCTAGAAACGATAAAACAAGAACCTTCCATAGCGAACAATTCGATGCTTCTACGCTTTCGTCTGCGAGCAGCCGACTGCTATATAAAGGCGACACTCAGCTGCAAGTCAAGTTAGTGATAAAGTAAACTCGTGGGCGTTAACATCAGTTAAGTCGTAAAGTGAACGCGTTGGGAATTACATTTAAGTAGAGTAAATTGTGAAAGTTGATGCAAGTGATTGTAGCTAGTAAAGTGCCTTGTAATTGAATTGTGAATTACGGAGTAAATAAATGACATTAGATAAAATCTTTGTAACGAAAGATACGGCAAATTGAATTGGCGAGTTTTTATTTAACAATCCAGAGATCGTACCCGAAGGATCTAGAAAATAATCGAGGTTGATTCAGTAAAATCGTAACAATACATATAATTTGATATGATGCGATGTATATATGATATAGTTTAACATGATATGATTTCATGTGTTTTGGTTTTATAAAAACACTTATTATTTTTATTATTTATTTTTTTATATTTTTTTTTTTCCTTTTTTAATTTTCGCTTCAGCGATTAGTTTTGCTCCCATATTCCATCGCAAATTGCTGCGCATTAATATTTTTTGTGGTACTGAAATTTGAGGTAATTACCAGCCAAGTAGCGTTATTAAGGGAATTTAAGCTTAAGTTTTTCTATATTTAGGGTATATACATACATACATACTCACTTAATACACTTGAGCTTGTGGTAAATGTAAATATGTATGCACATTAAATATAAATGAACTTTTTAAGTGGCGTTTAAAGTGAAAAAGTTCGCTATTTATCAATTTTAAATAAGCAAATTTTTGACAAAGGCAATGAATTTTTAGGTGGAAATATATTTTGCTGGACGAACCAAAAATATGTGCATGTCACATGTCGTCACATCACTTTATGGAATATTGTTTTATTTTATTTTATTTCATTTTATTTTTTTTAATGTTATTTTATATTATATTATTTTATTTTATTTTATATTATTTTAACCATTTTTATTTCTTTTTATTTTATTTAATTTTAATTTATTTCCTTATTTAATTTAATTTTATGTTTTTTTTTTATTTTAGCTTTTATTACGTTACTTTTGTTATTTAATTTTATTACATTTCATTTTATCTTATTTAACTTTATTTAATTCATTTTTGTATTCTTCTTAATTTTTCATTTCGAAGAGAAATGATTGAAAAAGCGCCCTTCGCTCTACTTCGTATACCTGCATTCCCATGTGACCGCTTGAACTGCTGTGAATGAAGTGGCAAATGAAAAATCTCTCGCATCAATAAAATATAAATAAACGCAACGAGTGAAAGCCGAAAAAGTTATCTAACTAAATGCCATTACGTAAATTAAATGACGGCGAATAATTTCAGCAAACATGCAATGCCAAAATACGAACTGAATGGAAAGCAAACGAAATTAAGAATGAAATTAAATTCAATACTAAAAGTATTTAAATATTTAAAACTTATAAAAATCAAAAATTAAATGTTTTTCGAGAACTCACGCACGAAAAAATGCATTTTTTTACATTCACCTAATTACTTAGTAGTAAACCGTGGCGTATACGTAACCATTTTTAAATTTGGCTACATACATATGTATGTATGATACTAATAATAATCTGATACCAATTGTGATTTAAGGCAGGTCAAAGTGTATGAATAGTGTTCAACAAATTTAAAGTTTTGCCTTTATGACCCTCACATACTCTTCCTTCTCGTATTATTCTCTTTCCTTACTCCTTTTGCATTTTTAATGTTTAAAATTTCGATTCACGCGCCTTTTCATATATAAAACCATTAAATTATTAATTTATTTATAACTTTACTCTACGGAGTCGCGTGGCCGGCATACTGAAAGCTCTACTGCCGTTGGCAATTTGTTGTTGTATTTGTTGCTTTTGCAATTTTTATTTCCCATTTTCTACAGCTTCGCGCTTTATTGGAGGCCATAAACAAATATTTACACGAGGAAGTGCACATGCACACACTCACAAACTAACACCAACACCCGTGCAAATACCGCATACATATTTACAACATAAATATTTCAGTTCTGAGTAGATTTTCATAATTTATTTAAACCGTAATGTTGAATGAAATTTATTCAAAGTTGTTTAAACGTAAATTATTGCTTTGGAAATTCGGCCTAAATGGCGTTATTTTGTATACTCGTATATAAGTAGAGAGAGAGATAAACAGAGCCATAAAATATATATATCACTGAAATAATGGAACGAAGTAAGCAAACTCCGCTCTGTGTGTATTCTCAGCTTGGCTATAAAGTGTTCATAAGTTTGCATTTTAAGTGGTCTTTAAAGTTTATGTTGATTGCAGGTAGTGTTTAATATATATCTATGTATATACATATATAAATCCATACGAAAGGGATAAGCAGCTGGCGTTCACAGGTCATTGAACTTAAGCTTTTCTAAATTAGTTTCTAAAAAAAAGTCAAATTAAAATATAATCAAATAAAAATTTGTTCAAAATAAGATTAAATATAAAAATTAATTCGAGCACAAACTAAAAAATTATAAAAAAATAAGTAAATAAAAATATTAATTAATAAACAAAAAAAACTAAAAATTAAATAAGAAAAATCAAACAGGATCAAGTAAGAAATTTAATAGAGTTCGATAAAAAATAATATAAATTGATACACTTAAAAATGAAAAGAAATAATTAAACTGAATAAATAGACAGAGAAATTAAGAAATAAAATCAAATCAAATAAAACAAATAGAAAAGCCAAATAAAATAAATAAAATTAATAAATATGAATTTAAACGAATTAAATAAATTAAATATAATACAATAAAATTAGACAAGTTAAAAAATAGAGTAATATAAATTAAAATAAAATTGTTTAAAAACTAATAAAAAATAAAAATAAAAAATACAAAATAAAACAAAATAGAAAAAGCAAATAAAATAGAATTAGAGGTAAAACAAAATTAAGTAAATTAAACAAAATAATAATAAAAATTTAATTAAAATAATATAAGAAATAAAAAAAGGAAAATAAAATGAAAAATTAAAAAAATTAAATTAGAAATTAAATTAAAATCGAATCAAATAAAATAATAAAATTTTTCGTACCTGAAATTAACCAGATTAGAATTAGAATTGAAACAAAATTAGTTAAAGTAAAAAATATAATTAAAAAAAAACTAAAATAAAATAGTTTGAAATATAAAAAAAGTAAAATAATATAAAAAATAATTAAAAAATTTAAATTGGAAATTAAAATAAATTTAAATCAAATAAAATAATAAAATTAATAAAACTAACCGGATTAGAATTAGAATTGAAACAAAATTAATTAAAGTAAAAAATAAAATAAGAAAATTTAAATAAAATAGTTTAAAAAATAAAAAAGTGAAATAATTTAAAAAATAAAATAAAAAAATATGCAATAAAAAATAAAATAGAAAATATGAAATAAAAAATAAAATAATATTAAAAGGTTAAAAAATAATGAAATTAAATTTAAAAATATACTAAATAAATAATTTAAATAATTTAAAGAAGTCTAAAAAATTAAAATAAAATAAAATGAAATAAAAAACTAAACTAATTCAATTAAATTGCATGACATGAGCCGATTGATACACCAACACCCTCTGCGTGTTCTCTAATAGTAATTCGGCGATTTGCTAAAACGTTTTTTATTTTTCCTTTTTGTTATAAGTTTTGAGTGAGCGAAAGGCCCATTTTTTGAATGAATTATTATTTTTTTTTGTTACACAACAATGAATTTTTTTTATTTTTAATTATTGTTAAGTAAAGTATTCAAATGTTTTTATTAATATTTAACTGTTTCATATTAAAAGGAAAAATATGGCAACATTGTATGCAAACTGCAACTTCCCTTGTGCGCTTTTATTGGCATGAAGTCAAGCGCCACTCAAGTGGAGAATATCTGCGCAATGCTTATACTTTTAATTATATTAAATTAATCGGGCTGCAGGAAGAGCGACTATCATGTGTATGGATGCATATTAGGGTGTACAGTTTTTCGATTTAATTTTCTACAAGTATGTTTTAGTGAAAACTTTTCTTCAAACTTTTTTTCATTTATAAATATATTTTTATAGCTTTTCGGGTAAAAAAAAATTTATTTGAAACGTTTGGTTTTCTGAAGATTCAAGATATATTGGTGGCCATAAAAAAGTATCTAATACCTTAAAGCTGAATTTTGATGAAAGAAAAAAACAAAAAGACTGAATTTTGATATTTTACGACTACTACTTTTTCGAAATTTGTGTTTTTTCAGGTTAATTTTGAGTCTATTAACTAATTAAGTGCATGTGTGAACCGAGCCGAACTCAACATATATATATATATATATGTATAACATTTGTGTATTGTAGTGAATACCAGTAAATCGTATGTGAAATATAATGCACTGTTTTTGTAGTATATTATAACAACAATACTTTCCTTAACATTCACAGTTACAAACAATTAACAGGAACTAACTAGATTCGATGTGTATACTGAAAGCGGCAACAAAATGTGGTTTACACTCCAGCTTAATTACATACACACAAATGCATAATATTATAGTACTTAAAGTAACAACTCGCAGACGCTAAGACGCTGACTTACAGCCCAACAAAGCTTCCATTTGTTTAACCTACAACACTTAAGCAGCAGTAACTTGCAACCACTGCATGTGTGGCATATGACAGCAGCAATCTCCTACAATGAATATATTATTACGGTAAATTGCTTTTGGTAGACGTGTGAGTATATAAAATACCGACAGGAAGGAGTTTACTTGTATACTATAGCGACACGTGGGAGTTCCTGTGCGCTGAAATTAATGTGAATTAGTTATTGTAAACATAGCATAAGCAGATGTAAACGTTACATAAGCATAAGTTGTATTTAGTGATATCAATTGTCGACTATCGATTTACTTATTGATTTGTCGTGCATACCTTTCCTGTTAGGAAAGAAGATGAAGTCCCGCATTGATTGCATACCTAAAGAAAATGGAATTGTAGCAAATTAGAACAATTAGAAAATAAGTTAATAAATTAGAAAAATTGATTTTTTAGTTATTAATCATTTTTTATCCAATTTAGTTAATAAATATGGGCATAAATCACTGACTTTCCTCTATCGAAATAGAAAAATCAAATAAAATAAAATAAAATAAAATAAAATAAAATATAATAAAATAAAATAAAGTAAAATAAAATAAAACAAAATAAATTAAATTAAATTAAATTAAATTAAATTAAATTAAATTAAATTAAATTAAATTAAATTAAATTAAATTAAATTAAATTAAATTAAATTAAATAAAATAAATATAATAAAGTAAAATGAAATAAAACAAAATAAATTATATTTAATAATATAAAATAAAATAAAATAAAATAAAATAAAATAAAATAAAATAAAATAAAATAAAATAAAATAAAATAAAATAAAATAAAATAAATTAAAATAAAATAAAATAAATATAATAAAGTAAAATGAAATAAAACAAAATAAATTATATTTAATAAATTTAAATAAAATAAATAAAGTAAATGAAATAAATGAAAATTAAAGAAAAGTAAAATAACATAAGATAAAACAAAATAGAATTAAAAAAAATTAAATTAAATATAACAAAAGAAAGTAAAAAATAAAACAAATAAATTAAATTAATTTAAAATAAATTAAATCAAATTAAATTAATTAAAGTAAAATAAAATAAATCAAATCAAATAAATTATCAAAATATAATTACTGTTCTAATAAGTTTGAAATAATAAAATAAAGTAAAATAAAACAAATAAAATTAAATTAAAATTATTAAAACTAAAATAAATTTTTAAAATATATTTAAGTAAAATGAAATAAAATAAAAAACATAAAATAAAAGAAAAGTAAAATAAAATAACTACATGTTCCCTACGTAGAAGGCTTACCAACTCCTGCACCTCCAGTGAATTGGGAAGAAGATTTGGGATATGTTGAAGAATGAGAACTGTATAGGGCAGGATAAGCGGACGCTTACTATTCTCCTGAAAACAAACGAAAAAACGGATCTCATTTGTATTGAATTAAATGACCTATTGGGTGTCAGTGGAAACTGGTACCTGAAAAGAAAGTGATCCTTCACTGATAAGATATTACTTACGCTTATACTACATTAATAGTCCTACCATCAGCCTGAAGTCAGGACACTTTGTCACTAGTAAGAATAGGTAAGCTTTGTGTCGTAGGTCTGTTAGCTAGATAGCGCAAGGGTGTTTCTTGTTCGTTGTTTCAATTCCCTAAGAGGTACTGGCAAGTCTATAGGTATGGTTTGTTCCGATAGAGCTTCATCTTTGTTGAATTCCTTGGCTGTCACATGGCCTTCGATATTCTTATGCTCTTGTAATAGAGATGGTCTTTTCTTTTTTTCGCCTGCCTCTTGATCGCATATGGTGCTAACACCACTACCGACTTTATGTGAGATGAAAGTATTGCCTTTGTCGGTCTAAATGACCTTATAATTTCTTGCTGTCTCACATAAAATCGACTTACGTAACACCCATTTTCCAACCCCGCCGAGACTCTTCGTTTCTCACCGTACAGATAATAAAAGCTTTGTCTGTGAACTTAAAATATTTTCTCCATCTGCTTAGCTGTCAGAAGCTACCCGAATATCAGGCGGTAGTCAATTTAGTCTATTCGTATTATTAAGGACGCCTTAGTAGTGTTATCTTCATCTGATCCAGCACTCAAACGATGCTGAATACCTCTTTGCATGTGCGCTAAACCAATTTATTTTCGTTTCTTCGGACATCCCCAAGACGATCTCGTTGACATGAACTGACTTAATTTTGTCCTAAGCAGAGTTACTAAGCTACTACAGCAACAATGACTAGAATATCACGAAGTGTTTTAGCACAAAGATAATGAGCTTAAGGTGTCAAAGGCTACACTGTATATTAGGAGCAACGGTGAGAGAAAAAGAGATAGAGAGACAGAAAGAGTGGATGAGAGAGAGAAAGAGAGGCAAAAAGGGGCAAAGAGAGGCAAAGAGAGCGTGGAAGAAAGAGAAAAAAAGAGAGATAGATAGAGAGAGAAACAGAGAGAGAGGAAGAGAGAGAGAGAGAAACAGAGAGAGTGGAAGAGAGAGAGAAAGAGAAAAAGAGAGAGCAGAGCTTAAAGTAGATATCAATGAAGAATTCTTGCCTGACAATAAGTTCAGATTACCAAACTGTGAAATGGCTACCAATACCGAAGGTATTCTTTTTCTTAGGCTCTCTCCTTCGCTGATACGCAAATGCGAAAAAAGCCATATATCTATAAATTTCGTCTTTCAGGAAACCGTTGAATCGCCTATGCATACTTAAAGGACGACCTTTAAAGATTCCTGCCAAAGTAATATCCTGCTTACAATAGAAACAAAAAACCATAAGCCAAACAAACACACATATATACACACTATCACCATTAAAGCTTATAATTTCTGCAATCCTTGCAACAACAACAATACCAGCAAGGAAGTGGGCGTAAAGTTACAAGTTGGTGTTTGTAACTGCCGTGACATGCAACCCTGAGTAGTCGCCCATATTGTCATTACATTTAACCAGAGCTCGTGTGACCCGCATAATTTGAATCATTATGGTTCAACGCTGAGCGCACTAAACATGATGAGGATGATGATGGTGATTGTAAGTAGAATAACAACAATAAGAATAACAACACGTTACTGAAATAATAGTAATAAAGCGGCTTGTAAGGCAACACCTTGGATGCATAGCGACGCAATAACCATTGTAATGCTGACGACCGCAATTGCCAAGTGGTTAGCATTGCGTACTGCTAATCTATAGATCAGGGCTCAAGTCCTGAAGAATATTAATTATTCGAACTGCGGTCGCCCCTCGGCAGGGTATGTCAAGCCCACCGAGAGTATTTCGAACATAAAATTGAAAATGTTCTCATAAACATCCATCGGTCGTACGGAGGCGGCTCAGAATAAACTGTAGATCCCTTCGTTTGCCGGAAAACAGTATGATGCTTATAACAAATTCGAGGAGGAGCTCGGCCGAAAATCGCTTGAACAATTACATAATGCCAGTGCCGGTTCCCCAATCTCTATAATATATGTATCCGATTTTTGTGCCGACTTAATGTGGGGCACTTTGTGGATAATGAAATAAATCGAAGTAGTGGCCAACCATAAGGTACTTTTATTTCTGGATAATCGACGAAAGAAGAAGATCTAAAAAAGCATAGACTCCTGCCCAAGTGATGAGAACTCTCTTTTTGATTACATTTTCCTAATATTCGGCAATCCTTTCTTGGAAGCCACTTCTTTTTCATATACTCTCTGCGTATGGCTTTCGGCTGGGTTACCTTAAAGCAGTAGAACCATGCAGAGATGCTTGCGAGGCCGAAGTGGAGTGATTCGAGTCTTATGATAACAAATAGGATCTTCTCAATTATATTTGTGCTTCCGCTCTATACACATGTACATATGTATATATGTAAAACAAAACAAAGGACGGTAGGTTCGTTTTGTTATGGTTTCTGGCTTCTCAGTTTCAGCTTACAACGAATTTTAGTTGCTTTGGTTGGCTTGCAGTTTAATGGTTGCTTTGGTTCACCTTACAAGTGGGTTTCGAGACCAACTACATGTGCATACCTGGATACTTACACAGAAGTTGGGTATAGATTTTAAGTCCATTCACTAATGTAAGGCCAGACTCGCTCAAACATACGTGTATGTAAATATGTACTATGAATATTTGTATTTAACCATTAATGTGTAATGAATTTACTTTGGTTACGCATAGTCGGCGTCAATGGTTTGCCTATTCGCTCGAAACTGCATGGTGAATTAACTGGTTCCAGCAAACTACTAAAGCTCTTTAAAGGACTGGCAAGAGAGCATTTGCTGCACTTCAGACAGAATAAACAATTAACCGCTATATTTTGAATTATTTTTTTTTTTTCGTTTTATTATTTACCAGAGTTTGCCAGCAACTTTGTCCGCTTCAAAATTTTAAGATGGTTTCAATCAAATTTTTTTTTGAGACTTTAGCGAAGCAAAAACGATTTCTATGTTTAAGGTTATTTTATATTATTTTATTTTATTATATTTTATTTTATATTATTTTATTTTATTATATTTTATTTTATATTATTTTATTTTATTTTATAGTATTT